CTCTGGATTTTCAAATATTTGATGTGCACTGTCTTTGTTTAACTTAACCTGATTGTTCTTTTTATCTGTTATATAATAATGTAAGTACAGACGTGGGTTCCATAGACAATCTCCCAATTTTCTTGATGACAAAAATCTCAATAGCAGTTCTTTGGCACTCCCTTAACAACCCCAGGCTAGGAGAGAGGAACAAGTCCTGCCCATTCTGGCCCTGGGCCTGCCAGTGTAGCGAATAGAGGCAGTTTATTACTTCAGACTTTAGTCAGAGCAGTTAGAAAACCTGAAAACTCACTCCATGTTTTGCATTATCTATAACAAAATGTATTCTTGTAGAGTTATATTTGGAAATTACGGTGCTATGTTTTGTTCATTGACTCTCTGGACTAAACAATGTTGTCTACTGCTAACACAATCACTCTGCTGGAGACAAGTTTCATTTTATTAAATCTACGAATTCAGCTCTTGAAGGTAGAGAATCACATGGAACTGTGGGCCTAGTTCTAGTGACTATAAACACTCCTTTGAAACAACTCTGGGGTAGGGATGTAGCTCAGTGATAGAACAATTGCCCAGCACTGCAAGAAATAAATTTAATTAAAAAATATTTTTAAAGTCTTGACTCTCAATTTAGGTTGTTAGGAGGCTTAGGGTTTGGAGGTCTCAGTCATCTGGCATCTGTTTCATAGTGGAAAGCACTGAATTCAGGCATTTTCTCTATTGATCCTATATCTTGAGAGAATTAAGACTATTGACAGGTCCTGCTTACTTTCAATGACAGATCACTGTTTTAAGCTTCAGATTATTACTGAAAGTAAAGAATTGAGTAAAATATCTATGGCAGAATTTCCATTTCTACTGTGTTTATACACACACACACACACACACACATATACACATACATATATACATATTTACATACATATATATATAAACATAAAATACCTATGGCAGAATTTCCATTCCTAATGTGTTTATATATGTGTGTGTGTATATACATAAACAATTATTTTATATACATATAAAAATATATAAAATGATTGAACCCAAAGGTGCTTTACCACTGAATTATACCCCCGTCCTTTTTATCTTTTGAGACAGGATCTCTCTAAGTTCCCCAAGTGACCTTGAGCTTGCACTCCCCTTGCCTCAGTCTTCCAAGTAGTTTAAGATCACAGGTGTGTACTACAAGGCCCAGCAATTTCCTTTTTTTTTTTTTTTTTTGGTACGGGGGATTGAACCCAGAGTTGCTGAACCACTGAGCCACATCTGGAACCCTTTTTAATATTTTGTTTAGAGATAAGGTCTTTCTGGGTTGCTTAGGGCCTTGCTGAGGCTGGTTTTGAACTTGTGATCCTCTTGCCTTAGCCTTCACAGTTGCTTGAATTACAGGCATGTGTCACTGTGTTTGACCAATTTCCTTAAGTTTTTTTTTTTTTTTTTTTTTTTAAGAGAGAGAGAGAGAGAGAGAGAATTTTTTAATATTTATTTTTTAGTTTTCGGTGGACACAACATCTTTAATTTTTAGTGGTGCTAAGGATCGTACCCGGGTCCCACCCGTTCGAGGCAAGCGCTCTACTGCTGAGCCACAATCTCAGCCCCAATTTCCTTAAGTTTTTAAACATAGAAAACAATGGAATGGAGGGGAAGCTGTACACTACTAGCATGAGACTACACAAGACCACCTATGCCGAAGGAGGCACAGGTACTTGCAGCAGAAGTCACCAAGAAAAGAAGAACAGAGGAACTACCAGCCATCTCATTAAAGAGCCAGTTTCACTAAACTTTTCTTATTTGCTCATGATCTATCAAAATATACTTGTCTCACCGGCAGGGTAGAGCATGCCTGTAATCCCAGCTGGTCAGGATGTTGAGGCAGGAGGATTTTTGAGTTCAAAAAAAGCATGGTGCTAAGCAACTCAGTGAGACCCTGTCTCTAAAATATATACATATATACATATGTACTGCCCAGATATTTTATTTTTTTTGTCTCTAAGATATATATAATTGTATACTGCCCAGATATTTTCTTTTCTTTTTTCTTTTTTTTTGGTACTGAGGATTAAACCCAGGGGCTCTTAACAATCAAGGCATATCCTCAGCCCTTTGTTTTGTATTTATTTAGAGACAAGGTCTCACTGAGTTGCTTAGGGCCTCACTAAGTTGCTAAAGCTGGTTTTGAACTCACTATCCTCCTGCCTCAGCCTCCTGAATTGCTGAGATTATAGGCGAGAGCCACCACACCAGGCCTCTGCTCAGACCAAAGAAATCTTTGGTTATCTAATGTATTCAAATCTTTTCTTGCAAAAAAAAAAACCTTGATTTTTTTTTGCAAGAAAAGTAATAGATAAACCATAATACCTATAATTGCTGTAGGGTAAAATCCTGAGGCAGAAGAAAAATGGAAAAATAATGGTTCAGGCAGAAAATAAGCATCTCCTGAAATATGTAGCTGATATAGAATTTGATCATGTATTTTATGAACTGATTATGATATCAAATTGATGTTCCAATAGGTATATTTAAAATACTGATGTGGCCATTTTGCTTTTTAAAATGTCCTATGTTGGGATGTGCATCCTTGCAGCTATTTGAATTTTTTATAAAAATACAGTAGGTGACAACTTTAAAACGTGTGAAATTTCCAAAAATCCTTTTATGTGGACCCAAGCAGGAAAGAGGCAGGGTGGTGATACAGCCATTTTAGGGAGGACCTTGTTGTGATGACATTTCCTCCCCTGACCCACCAGTCTGCCAGTTTGTACCAGTCCAGACACATGACAGGTTAGGGCCCTGTGGAGACACTTAAAAGAAAAAAAAAAAGCGTGTGTTTTACAGAATTTTATTTAAAAATGTCCTTGCTGGAGACAATGGTACAAACTCTCAATACTTCTCACAACAGCTCAAAGAATCATTATTAATCCTCTTTTTCTTTTAATAAATAAGTCAAAGCAAGAAAAAGATAAGCCGTGTCCCTTCCAGTATGAAAGCTTCATGCCAAAATGCTTTTCCTGAAGCACAATGGCACTCCTTAAATAAATGCCATGAATGTGAAGAAAAGAATTCAGTTACTAACACTTCACAGAAAAATCATGCGGCCAAAAGGGGAGGCAGTTACATTTGCTCAAAACAAGGTAATTCCGTTCCTCTAACCTCCCCCCACCACTAAGGGTGAAAGCTGCTGGCAGCTGTCACTTACTAACCCAGCTCGCGCACAAAGCGCTGCGGTGATCCGCCAGCCTCCACTTCCCTCTTGTCCAGCATACTGTCATTGCAGGATCTTTCCAGGCAAACATCCTACCGGGACGTACTTTGCTTGAGGATAAAGACGTCTGATACGGGCAGGGATGGAAAGGTGGTATGGCGCCACCGCCAGGCAGCGTTACAACACCCAAGGCCTCCCCAAACTCGTGGTTTGGCGCACCCATGATCTCGACAAGGGAACACAGGTGAGAAGACCGACGCTAGAGCCTTCTGGGGGAAGCGACGCCCCTCACCTGCACGCCTGCTTTTTCGCAAGGGCACCGTTTCCACCGTTCCTCTACAATGGGCTGTTACATTCCCACACTCCGCTCACTCACTGGCGGGACTCACCCAGTAACTGGGAATCGCTAAGGTGTATAGGTAAAACATAGGGTTAATAACCCATCACCGTGTTCGAAACCCTTTCTCGACTGTATGGGTGGCTCTGAAAAGAGCCTTTGGGTTCGGGGCGCCAGGGACGCGCCTCACTTGGAGCTGGTGTACTTGGTGACGGCCTTGGTGCCCTCCGACACAGCGTGCTTGGCCAGCTCCCCGGGCAGCAGCAGCCGCACGGCCGTTTGCACCTCGCGGGACGTGATGGTCGAGCGCTTGTTGTAGTGCGCCAGGCGGGAGGCCTCGCTGGCGATGCGCTCAAAGATGTCGTTGACGAACGAGTTCATGATGCCCATGGCCTTGGACGAGATGCCGGTGTCGGGGTGCACCTGCTTGAGGACCTTGTACACGTAGATGGAGTAGCTCTCCTTGCGGCCGCGCTTGCGCTTCTTGCCATCCTTCTTCTGCGCTTTGGTCACGGCCTTCTTGGAGCCCTTCTTGGGGGCCGGAGCGGACTTGGAAGGATCCGGCATGATGGCGGGTCTCCTCTGACAGACTGCAGGGAGGACCACAACAACTCTATTTGTACGCCTTGAATTCAAATGAAGGATCAGGAACTACTCGCTTCTGGTTGGATAGAACGTCTCACTATGTCATCGCTCGGAAATTAGGGGGGCGGGAAATGCTGGTGTCCTTTTCTGATTGGCTATCGATGCCATCCTATCAGACGATGCTTTTTAACCGACCTCCGGATCGTATATAAGGGCTCGCTGGGGACTCTAGTCCTGATATCCCTTGTTGTGTTTTTCGATTTCTTCTTCTCTGCGTCAGAAATGTCTGGCCGTGGCAAGCAGGGCGGCAAGGCGCGCGCCAAGGCCAAGTCCCGCTCTTCGCGCGCGGGCCTACAGTTCCCGGTGGGCCGCGTGCACCGGCTGCTGCGCAAGGGCAACTACTCAGAGCGCGTGGGCGCCGGCGCACCGGTGTACCTGGCTGCAGTACTCGAGTACCTGACGGCCGAGATCCTGGAGCTGGCGGGCAACGCGGCCCGTGACAACAAGAAGACGCGAATCATCCCCCGCCACCTTCAGTTGGCCATCCGCAACGACGAGGAGCTCAACAAGCTGCTGGGCCGCGTGACCATCGCCCAGGGCGGCGTCCTGCCCAATATCCAGGCGGTGCTTCTGCCCAAGAAGACGGAGAGTCACCACAAAGCCAAGGCCAAGTGAGGCCCTGCCGCCTGTGCGCGCCCCGTGGACACCAAAGGCTCTTTTCAGAGCCACCACTGATTCTAGAAAAGAGCCGCTTTGAGCTCGAAGCCTTTTGGCCTGGGGCGGGGTCCCCTTCGATTCCTTTAAGAGCATTAGTGCGCATTAGTCTAAGCAAAGGGCTCAAACTGGGACCATGGCGCAAGGGAGGGACACGCACGTGCGCGAGGTGGGCGACGGGCTTCTGCTAGAGGCCGGGAAAACCTCCGGACCTGTCCATTTGCTTGCGAATAGTGGGGCTTTATCCTCTGTTAAGTGTCCCCAGAATTACCGATTACAGGTACTTGGGATTCCAAAAAAGTCAGGATTGCGTTTTTTTTTCTCCTAGGGACAATTGGGTCGGTTCATCTGATATTAAAAGTGTATTACACTTTAATAAAATTTGCCATTTGGAATTCTGATAGGTGAATCTTAGGGTTTACACTTGGAACAAGAGTGAACCAGTTAAAATAGCTAAATTTTAACAAAGTCCTCCAAAATCAGGATCTAATTGAACTGGGATTTCAAAAGGTCTTGGTAAAGGTTTTGTTTGCTAGATCTGTTCTCAATACTTAAGAACCAAGTTGTTAGTCTTAAAGGATGTGTAAACATTTTTTAAGATTTATTCATGAATGAGTAAAAGGAATTAAGTTTTATTTTAAATCTGAGTTGGTCAAACGTTGAAGATTCACTTTTGCTTAAGTCAGAACAAAATTTGTACACTGAATTAGGTTTCTGAGTTTAGCATATTTAAATTTACATTTTAATAAACAGCAAATTAAAACTGCTAGTGACAGATAAAGTAGCATTTGTGTGGACTTTTCGAAAGATTACTTCATTATCTCCACTTTTTATTAAAAAGGAGGACTGGAGAGCTCCAAGCAAATTGGACAGAAATGGCCGTTTTAATAGCACTTACCCTAATAGAGGGGACTAGGTGAGCTCTGTCATGATCTATCAGGATCCCTTGAATGATGTGTGCCACAAAAATCAGAGCTCAGTAAATGGTATGTTTTTTACCTTGTTATTACCTGTACTGTTTTATTAATTTTATTATAAACAATAAATACACGCCAGCAATGCAATTCAGGAATATTATGTAATATACATTATATAATTTTGCACACAATATGTATTTATCCTACTAAAACTGGATCTGCTCAAACCAGGGCTCTCTAGATACCATCTGTGGAGCTAATCACAAATCTGCTTGCCTTTACAAAATATCCCAGTGTGGGAAACTAGTGCATAAAAATTGATAAGGAGCTGCTCTAATAGTATGGTTTTCAGCATTAAAATATTCACAGAAAGTATGTAGTTCATGCAACATGTGTATATGCCCTACTTCAGTAAAACGGGCTGCAAAGACTGATCTTCCAGAGATTCTTCACGTTTCTAGTGATAGCCTGCAATTCTAACTACATGTATTCATGACTCTGTGGGTCTCAGTGGCATTTAAGTGGCATTTTTTAATGATTTTGTTTAAGTGAATGACAGCGGAATGCATTACAATTCTTATTACATAGATACAGCACAATTTTTCATATCTCTGGTTAAATATAAAGTATGTTGACACCAATTCGTGTCTTCATACATGTACTTTGGATGATATCTATCACATTCTACCTTAAGTGGCATTTAACAAGAAACTTTCAGGGACTGGGATGTAGATATTTCAAGTATCACCATGGATTTTCACATCTACATAAAAATTACTCAAATGAGTTATTAAGAGGGCAGCAATGGCGGTGGTCTCCTCATGGTAGCTTTTCATCTTTTGCCATTAAAACTGAACCATCCAGTACACAGCAACAATAAACACAGGGCTGTTTATTTTCAATTGATTAAGATTTAATGTAAATGAGTAATTTCATTTGAGCTCTAGTTTTGCATGGCCAGCAGGTACCATGTTAGAAAGCAGAGATAGAAGATGTTTCCATCATCACAAAAAGCTCTGATTGGTCAGCTCCTAAGATCTGGGGATCTATCAGATTATCAGTTTCAGAAATGTAAAGAACTACCTGTCTCTCTAAGAGAACATTTATTAGATTCTTGTAAAAGGAAGAAAGCACCACATGACCAGCAAATCACTTCTAGGAATATGCCCAAGAGAAATGAAAATATGCACCCAACAAACACTTGTACTTAAGTGTTCACAGCAGCATTGTTCACACTGTCTGGAAGGCAGAAATAACTGAGGATAAGGCCAACAATAGTGGCCTTATCCTCACTATAGAAAATGAAGCACTGATTCATGCTACAACATAGATGAACCTCATACATTGCGCCAAGTAAGTCAGACACAAAAACACACATATTATATAATTCCATTTACATGAAGTATCCAGAACAGGCAAATTCAGAGAGGCAGCAAGCAGATTAGTAGCTTGGAGCTGGAGGAAGGGGAAGAGTAACAGGGACTGCCTAATGGGTACAGGATCCTTGGTGGTGATGAGAATGTTTGGGAACCAGGATGAGATGACAGTTGCACAATACTGTGAATGTACTTAATTTCCTGGAACTGTTCACTTAAAAATGGTTCACCATGCGTCACATGAATTTCACCTCAATTTTTAAAAATCTGATCCTGATAACTGAATGTGTCTGAAATAATAAAAAGAACAGGGAGGACCAAAGAAGAGAAAAACAGAGGAGCCCTGGAAGGGCCAGGTACAAGTAGACCAGATGTCTGAAAGGAGGAGGGGTGGGAGGAATGCTTTTTAGGTAGAATGCTTTCTAGGTGGAATGAAGTAGCGCTGGTGCTGCTCCTGCCATCATCTGGAAACCACTTATAAGGTGGGACATTGAATCATTCTGGGTGGTCACAGCAGATACCTCTGGACGTGCCCATGTGTAGCTCACTTCTGCTGGGCCAGCCCACTTCTGTGTCTGTAGGAGCAAGGAGGCCTCTCCAGGCCCACTGTCCCTGCATACACATCTTCGTCAGGATTAGCTCAGTCCCTCTACACACCTCCCTAGGGCAGGCATTTAATTAAGGAAGTTAAGAAAAAGAAGTATGAGGTTCCAGAAGAATGCAACCTGGGGCAGACTCAGAGACACCCCTAGAGACAGTTTGTGTCATGTGGGGCTCCAGCCTGGCTTTGCTGTGTCTGTATCCCTCTCCAAGTGTGGGTCTGTCCCCCTTCAGCCCTCATGTTAGACTGTTCTGCTGGGTCTGTTCTCGCAGCCTCATCCACATAACCAATAATCTCCTATCTCAAAAATGAAAAGTAAAGCCCACCATAGGAAGCAATTGCACTTCTGGGCACATATTCAATGGAGATGAAGTGTATGTGTTCAAGAGACACCTGCACTCCTGTATTTACAGCAGCACTGTTCACAACAGCCAAGATAGACAATCCTCTGTGTGCCCACCAAGGAATGAATGACACTGAAAATGTGATGTCCAGACAGTGGAAGGAACACTATGCAGCCTTTAAAAAGGATGGAACCCTGACATCTTTGACCACATGGATGAACCTAGAGGACATTGTAGTTGTCCTCAGAACTCACAGGGGACTGACTTCAGGATCCTGTGGATACCAAACCTTAAGTGTGGTTACAACCCTTATATATGATAGTATGCCATTTGTGTCTAACCTAAAATCTTTAAGTCACCTAGAATGACTTCTAGTACATAATACAATGTAAATGCTATGTAAGTATTTGTTCTGCTATACGGTTTAAGAAACCGTGACCAGGGCTGGGGTTGTAGCCCAGAAGTAGAATACCTGCCTAGCATGCGTGAGGCACTGAGTTCGATTCTCAGCACTGCATATAAATAACTAAAATAAAGATCCATTGACAACTAAAAAATCTTAAAAAGAAATTATGATCTCCCCCCCAAAAAAGACTGTACCCCCCCAGCTCCTGCACACCAAAAAAGACCACACATGTTTAGGGCAAACAAAATTTTTTAAAATGGTTTTTAATCTTGGATTGGTTGAACCTGCAGATGTGAAGCACCAACTGTATACAAATGGAATACTACTCAGTCGTAGAAAAGAAGGGAAACCTCTTTTCCTGACATGGATGAACCTGGAAGACCTTATGCCAAATGAAAGAAGCCAGGCACAGAAGGACGGCTACCACATGGTCTCTCTTTTGGATTCTGCAGCTAAGCCATCCCTGATCCTCTAGCTGTGGAATGTAGAAGCCAAACTCCCAGAAGCTGAGCAGAATTGTGGCTATGGGGCTGGAGGGGATGGTGCCAGGGAGATGTTAAAATCCCCCTACAAAGAAAACACTGACCACTCACCTCCTCCCAACTTCTGGGGCCCCATGGGCTCTGACTTATAGTGTCATTTAGCTGACACCAATTCTCCAGAAAGACATCCGGCTGTGCTGAGCTTAGCATCTCCCCTTGGTGCCTTATCTGTCCTGTAGCAGTGATCCTGAGTTGCCTTGGTCCCCAGAAGCCTCTGTATCGAGGGTATAACTCAGCAAGCCCTGGGCCACACAGCAAGGAGGCTCTCCCTGGCCCAGGAAGAGGTCCACAGCCACACTGATCATGCCTCTAGCCATGCCCCCTCCCTACAGGTGCCTGCCATCTCACTGCCTGGCAGGTGGCTGGGACGCCAGGTCCCCTTGCTGCTCAGTCAGGCTCTGGACGTTGGAGGTGGGAGCTGCTTCTCCTGGAGGGCTACCCTTGGGCCCTAGGCCACCTCCCTGGGGCCTGGGCTCTGGCCTCACCTTCAGCCCAGGGCAGAACTCTTCCAGTTGGTGGACAGACTAATGCTGGTTTATGGGCATTTGCTGCCCACTGGAGGAAGATAGTCAGTGATGGTCAAGTGTGGATCAGCTAGGGGATGAGGGATAGATCAGCTGGAAGGTCAAGGATAGGTGAAATGGGGGGTCATGATGAATCAGTTGGGTGTTCAAGGATGTCAGTTGGCAGGTCAGGATTGGTCGGGAGGACTGGTCATGTGGAAGGTCAGGTAGAGGGTTAGGATGGGTCAACTAGGAGATCAGGGATGGGTCAGCTCAGGGATCAAGTATTGGTCAACTGGTGGATGAGGGATGAGTCAGTGGTTAGTTAGTAGTTTGGGCTCAAGGAGCCCTAATGCCCCATCTGGACTCTACACTGTCCCTCACGGGACACTGGGGATTGTAATAAGTCTTAGCCCAGCTGGGCTGATGTTGAGAGCCATAGGCCTGAGGTAGGACTGGCCACTCACCTCAGGCTCTGGCTGATCCTCCTGATCCTCCTCTTTTCTTGTGGTCTTATCTAGACCATGACCTCTCCCCAGAGCCAGGCTTCACTTGTGCCACCCACTTCTCCCAGCACCAGAATCACTGAGCCACATCCCATTCCAGTGGCCCCACAGGTTTCCCCACCTTCCCTAGCCCTTAAACAGCTTCACCACCTTCCTCCTCCTCAATTAAGAAAAATAGGCCAGTAAAATATGCCTGTTTTAATCTTCTTGGATTTCTAAAACAAAATACTATAGGCTGGGTGATTTATAGACAACAGAATTTATTCTCAAGGTTCTGGAGGGCTGAAAGTCCAAGATCAAGTTGCTGACAGACATGGTGTCTGGTGTGACTCTCCTTCAGGGATGGCGCCACCTGCTGTGCCTTCCTGGTGCAGGAAGTCCACTCAAGTCTCTTATGAGGCACTTAGTCCAATTTCTGTTGCTATAACAAAATGGCACAGACAGAGTAACTTATAAAGAATAATTTATGTAGCTCACAATTCTGGGCCATCCATACCATGGTACTGGCATCTACTTGGCATCTGGTGAGGACGTCCTGCTGCACCTTGACCTGAGGAGGGCCTCAGGTGGTCCCCTACAGGTGTGCCAGAGACAGCACACTTTGCTAACAAAGCCACACCCACCCCGACCCACTAGTGCCCTGGTGACAGCAGGGCCTTCCTGACTCTATCCCTCCACAGACCACCAACACATGACCTTGGGGATTGAGTTTGCAATGCAGGAGACTTTGAGGGCCACCTTCAAACCAGAGCAGGCCCTGATGCCATCCTGAGGCTCCATCTCCAAGGCCCTGCCTCCTAACACCATATCTGTAGGGTTAGGCTTCAACACACAAATTTGGAGGGGACACAAACTTTCAGACCACAGCAGGGTCCTTGGCTCATTTTTGCCTTACTAGCTATTGCAGAAACAACCAGAATATCCTACTGGAGTCAACTCTGGACAGTCCAGATGCATGCATGCATTCCTCTCTACTTCAGCTGCTGCTGCCCGGTCTAGAATATTAACTGCACCTCCCTATGGCCATAACCTTTGGAAAAAGGGTCTTTGCACGTGTAATAAACAGTTTTAAATGAGGAGATCATCCTGGATCATGAAGCCAACCACAAATGTCTTTATAACGATGCCCAGAACAAGAGACATAGAAGAGGAAAAGCCCCATACATGGGTTTCTTGCCATTCCCACCACAGTCCCAGCAAGGATTTTTGCAGGCATAAACAAGCTTGTGGTAAAACTTCTTTCAGAGCTAAAACAACCTTGAAGAGGACAGCAGAAGAGAGAAGACTCCCTCTGTGGATGTTATGGCTACAGAAGGTGCCGTGTGTTTTATCTGTGGAGGACTCAGAGATCAGTGCAAAGGACACAACACCCAGAGGAGCTACATACAGTTCAGTACACACAGTGTGCACTGTGCTTGTAAAAGCAAGCAGATAGTCAGCAGGCGAAAGGCAGCCTTGTCAGCAAACGGGACCAGAGCACTGGACATCACAAAGGGGAGAGATGAACTTATTCAAATATCAACTCAAAGTGGACTGTGGACTTCAATGAAAAACAAAACTGCAAAAAATTGTACATAAAGAATACAGAAGAAAACTCTCAGAAGGCAGGGCTGGACAACACACTCCTAAATGTGACACGTAGCACATGATCCATAAGAGGAAGCACTGATCATTTGGATGTAATCAAAAGGAAAAAAAAAATGCTCTGCAAAAAAGGCCAGGTGAAGAAAAGAGCAGGCTTCCTGTAGACCAGAAGAAGACACTTGCAAGTTGGACAGCTGGAAGCTTGGGCTCCAGGACATGTGAGGAACCTCCCCAGTTAAAACAGTTAAAAAACATACTTGGTTTTTGAACAGGCCAAGCCCTTTCATTTCCTCTTGCCTGACCACTCTGTTGACATGAAGATGGAAGAATTCCCTAGGGTGTGCTACACAGAGAAAGGTAGAAGGAAGAGTTTGAGGGTCTCAGAGCAGAAGTGGGTGAGGAGAACTAGGCACTGCATGCCCAGGAGGCAGGGAGCAGACAGGAAGCACTAAACGTGGATAAGTCAAGCATGCAGGAGACACTTAGGCCCTGGACATCCAGGTACACTCAAGGGAATAGCACACCTGGGGCATGCAGAGCTGCCATACAACCAGGGCAGATCCCCCCATGCAAGCCACTTTCCCTTTGGCATGGCCAGGGGAGCCTGCCCCTGAGTCACATCTGTGTGCCACGGGTGCAGTAACCTCCTGATCCTCATAACACACTGCCCACAGCAAAGGCTGACAGCAGACAGCAACAGCACCCAGGGACCCCTATGCTCAGTATCAGTGGCAGTGACACTTAAGTCCCTTTCCGCTTGCTTCTCATTTTGTGCTTTAAATCTGTTTAGTGACTTGTGCTATTTGGTCTTTTAATGGGGCCTGTGAGCCCTTTTGTGGCACAACCTGTGGCCTTGAGGGAACTTCTACAGGTCTCTGGTACTGTGGAGTTTGGGGGCCACTCCAAGACCAGTGAGCCAGGGCACATCCCTTCCACTGATTTTGTTTCCCCCCTTCAATGCACTGTGTGCTGGCCTGACTCCCAGTTCTCCCCACTGCAAAGATGAGCTCTCAGCAGGCCAAAGAAACTCACCTGGTGGAGCACTCTGGACAGTGTGGCCCACCAGAGCATCCCTCCAGGTGTGCAGGGCGCAGGGCTCCTCACACCCATGCAGATGGCGAATCAAAGGGCTTGTGCTGGTGCACAACACACTCAACATACTCACATGCTCAAACTCTTGATTCTGGCCTGAGGAACTTTATTACCCTTGTGGTCTCAAAGCCCTCGAAGGCAGGTCACCTTGGGTGGCCTTGAGGACATCCTACTGGGCTGTGCAGCCTCTAAGAAAATGTTCCAGGCTTCTCCAGCTGCCATCATAATAAAGGGTTAAGGTGACCATGGGGTCTTAAATAGCTGCTCTGAGACCTAAACCAGAGAACAGGTGTGAAGGTGAAGAAGTCACCCCGGTGCTCATAGGAGGCAAGAAACCAGCCAGGGACCTTGCTCAGTGCACCCCACAGCAGAGCAGGGAATTGATTCTAGGCCAGCGTCAGGGCAGGAGCAGTTCCCAAGTGGGCCATGTGCCATCAGGGAAAAGAGCTGAGCTGAAGCCCACAGAGTTGTGGGGAGATGGAGGCTTTTTGGTTGTGGCAGTCTGTTGTCAGGCATAGGGTGAAGCTCAGGCCTGGGAAGCAAGGTTCAGGGCTCAGGCAGTTAAAAGAAGATGCAAGGCAGTTGGGATATTGGTCATCTTTATTCAGAGGTGGCAATGGCCCCTAGTCAGACTAGGACCCCTGGAGGTCAGGCAATGGAGCAGCTGAATGTTACAGAACATACCACATACACCCAGGCAGCATTAGTGGGCTTTGGTAAGTTATTTGCTAGCAATCTGGGGAGCCCCTGGCAGCAGGGCTTTGCAATAGTGCAACCTAGGGATGGATGCATTGTTTGGTCTCCAGAGGAGACCAAACATCCATTACCACCCACTTCTCCCTGAGACAGCAACTGCAATCATCACAAGAATGGAGACCATCATCGCTGCCTGATAGTTTGCTTTATGCAGCTGCATGAACTGTGTGGACTGATCTGGAGAACTGCCAGAAACTGGGGTAAATGGCAATCCTGTGCGGATTTGGAGCAGATTCACCAGGAGCTTGGTATGTGTCAGGCGATGTTTAATCTGAATTACCGGGGCCAGGTGATGGAAGATGTACCAGTGGCATGAGAGACTTGGTTCTGCAGCCTGCTCCACCTGTAACATTGGGTCCTCAATGGCTATTTTAGACCCATATGTTGGTCGCCCCATTTAATGAGGTTACTACCATGATGGCTAGCCTGGGAGAAGCTGAGCAGACAGCAGTCCAAAAATGTGTACAGGAGAGGGCCTGTATGCAAGACAAAGAAAGGAAGAAAGGGCCATCAGAGTGTCTTGCATGAAATGAGGGCTGACCTGGCAGCAGGGGTAGATGGCCAGAAGAGACAACTAGCCTAATGTGGAGCTTCTGGAGCTGTGGAAGCAGCTATGCCAAGAGCAGCAACTCATGAGAGTGGCACAAGTGAGAAGCACCCTCTGCTGACATCTATCCACCTAGAGACGCCTGGAACTGACAGCCTGACAGATAGGTGGGCACACACTCCTGCAACTTCTCCTCAGATGGCTTGTAGGTGAGGGGGTTCCATCTGGTGTGACTGATGAACAAGTTTCCATGAGGTTTGATAGACCCATGAGTCTGTGGGCTTGATTCAATGCAACACCTTCACAGGTGGACCATTTGAGGAGCACCACCAACAGATTTAGGGGTTTGGGCCTTACTTACTTAAGGTGGTACTATGCAGGTGCTGGCTGTGGACTGGTACAAACAAGGTGCAGAGCCCTTCTCCAGTAAACCACTGCTTCGCAGAATGGAGTGGAAACTCAGAGCTAGGCACGGCCTCAATGGTGCCATTCTGGGCCTTCCAGAGTTCCTGGGAGTGGGGGCACAGCCTGCTCTCCACACCCTCCTCACTACCCAGGGATGAGTACAGTTTCATCACTCCTAGGTTTGAATCCCAGATGAACGGGTGCTGGGAGCACATCTGAGCAGAGCTGAGCCAACCGTCCCTGCAGCCACCAGCAGGACCCTGGCAGATAGGAAGGGCATGTGAAGTTATGGAAGTCTGCTTTGCAGCAGCACAGCACCCAAAGCTGACTGATTTAGCCCTGTAGTCCCTGATTTGTTTAACTAGAGATATTTAGAAGACTACAACAAAACTGGCATTACTTAAAAATCCCAGCAGTTCTAGAAAGTGCTTCCCTCTAATCACTGGGCATACAGTTGCTGGAAGGGCTGGGCTTTCATTGTTCAATCACTTGATTTGTGGGCAAAGCTAGGTCTGAATTACCAACATGACAGCAGTAGCCGGTGATTGAGTCGGGGGCAGAGGCCTTGTAGGTGGAATGAGGTCCTCGTGAAGGGGCTTGTAGGCATGGTTCTCTCTTCCCCTCCTTCATCAATAAGGATGCTAGCAGGCATCATCTATGGCCATCTATGGCCAGACACCAAGCCTATCTGTACTTCACCTTGGACTTCTTACTCCCAGAACCTCGAAAATGAATTCATGTTTTGTGTAAATTATTTACTCTGTGGCATTTTGATGTTATTTTGTATACATGCCTACACATCTACAAATATGGTGGTGGTTGCTGGCTTTGGTCTGGTTTTGCCCCTGGCCCTGACTTATCATTACAATAGCCCTAACATCTAGAACAATGGGAACATCTTCCATCAAATCACCTGACCTTTCTGTTCTTGGTTCCTGGAATAGCTTTAGAGCAATAAATGTGAAACGTGGCCTTTTGTTAGAATCTTGGGTTACCTGAGGCTCAGAAAGCAAATTCCCATTCTCCCCCTCCCCCCACCCCTCTCTCTCTCTCTCTCTCTCTCTCTCTCTCTCTCTCTCTCTCTTTCTCTCTCTCCTCTTCTGCCTTCCTTTTACCTGTTCTTTCTCTCCTGAAGGCAATCTCTCTTCCCCAACCTTGGGTCATAAGAACTAAAAGTCACTCTAATCTTTCCCTGACTTTCTGTCTTGAAGCTGCCTTCAAGATCTACCCCATCTGGCAGTAGATCATTCGACCCCCGTTGTAGAGGGGTCCTGCACAATACCCAGGAGGAAGGAATGTTGCAGAGAAGGGCTGTGAGCAATCTGAAAGGACAGGCCTCACTGTGTTTCCCATCCAGTCTCTTTGCCTTAGTTCACAACCTTTGTGTTCAGTTACATTTATACATGGTTGTCCCTGCTTCAATCATGTCTGTGCAATGAAGTCTCCATAAAAAATCAAAGTATAGGGTTCAGAGAGCCTCTGAACACTTGGAAGCTCATAGGAAGGTAAACATCCACATGTCAGGAGGGTGGAACACCCCAACCCCACAGGACGGAAGTTCCTGCACTGGGGACCTTCTAGAACTCACCCTGTATATCTCCTCTCATTGATATTGGTATCCTTTAAAATACCCTTTATGGTAAACTGGTAAATGTAAGCATTTCCCTAAATTCTGTGAGAACTCAAGGGAAGAATTCCAAGTAATGAACTTGACTATGCTGTAAAATGCCACTGGAACTCAACTTTCTCTATCAAATGCCATGGGATCAAGCCAACTCTCTCATAAGCTCTGGGTTGGTGCTCAGCTAGTCAGTTTTACATGAGATATAAGCAGCCCCCTTAGAGTTGGACATGAGTTGTCTCAGAGTCTGTGGCCCAGCCCTACTCCAACTTTCTAACATAAGCCACACCTAAATGTGAACCTGTTCTGAATGCCGAAACAGACTTCCAGTGGACACAAGGCAAGAGCCTTGAAAAGATCATTAGCACAAGTTGCCCAATTTATATGACTTATGTCTAAATAATGGCTCAGGGAAATGTAATATCTGATTGGATTAATGTGCACAGTTGAACCAGGCGCTGTCAGTCTAGCTGTCTAATTGGATAAAACAGCGACAGCATGTCAGCCAGTCAGAACCTCTCAATAGACCTCCTGCGCCAGAAAAAAAGCAGGTTATGTGCAGGAATGCCAGTACTTTTCAACATAAAATGACCAATAAATAAGAACCAAGGTGTTCGATAAATTGAAAAGGATTCCCTATCATTACTGAAACCATTTTGCTGATCTTGAACAGTTGTCTTTTTAAGCAAGCAGTAAACTTTGAATAAAGTAATAATTGAAGCCAGGCATGATGGTGCCTACCTAATTTAATCCCAGAGGTTTGAGAGACTGAGGCACAAGGACCAGAAGTTTGGGACCAGCCTCAGCAACTTAGCGAGGCCCTAAGCAACTTAGGGAGATCCTTTCTCAAAATAAAAAAATATAAAGGGCTGGAGATGTGGTTCAGTAATTAATTGCCCTAGGTTCAACCCCCCAGTGCCAAAATTTAACAACAACAACAAAAAACCTGACTGATCATGTCTCATCCTGATAAAACAAGACCTCTCCAACAAAAAACCCTGCACCATGTGTGATGACAAAATATATCATTGCCCAAGTGATAAGAAAGTCCAGTTTTAGGGGCTGGGGTTGTGGCTCAGTGGTAGAGTGCTCACCTAACATGTTGGAGGCCCTAGATTTGATCCTCAACACCCCATACAAATAAATAAATAAAATAAAGGTATTGTGTCCATTTACATTTTTTAAAAAATTAAATAAATAAATAAAAAGGAAGAAAGTCCAGTATGACCTGGAGCAGAAGCCCCTGGAGGGATAATCTAGTGGTCATGCTGAGGAATGCTGGAGATGGAATGTGGACCAGATGGACTCTAAGAAATTCCAGGGGCCTCAGAAGTTTCAACTTTCAATTTTTTCAATATCTGGGAAATTGAACTGGAAGCATGGGGTGAGTGACTCATGAGGAAATAGGATGAAGAGTGGCTGAGGGACAGGTCTGAGAATGCTTCACCCTGAGACCAGCCTATTCCAGGAGGGCCCTGGAGGGAGGACTGAGGCGGATCCAAAGCTGGGCAAAAGGGTGACTTGCTTCTCTTGTTTGGATTGATGAGTGAAAACAAGCAGTACAGTTAATCATTGATGAGGCAAAGAGTGCTTGGGTCAGGGTAGTTAACTGGGTGAAGAAGTGAGTAGGTTTAATTGCTTACACACTAGGTTTAACAGAGTAGCAACTGTGGAGGAAAAGAACTAGAAAGATAAGTGTTGGTTTAACAAGATTTGTTTACACGGGTTGGTGTGGAGAGCTGAGGTGGGTGACCCACCTCAGCCTCTCAGCCCTGACAAAATGTTACTTTCTTTTTTTTTTCTTCAAAGCATTACTTTCTAATATAGTTTTTAATTTGTTTTAATTGCTGTTAGTTCATATTTTTAACCCCACAGCATCCCTCTCCTCTAGGCCATATGGGGAAAGGAGTTATCTGACCATCATAAGGGATGGGAGATTCCTTGAAACTATGGCTATTTTCCAGATTCCCAGAACTCCCAGAAAAATTCAACATTATCACCATGTAAAAACGCAAAGCACAGTGCTGGCTTCTAGAAGGTTCTTCCCACCTTGGTAAGCGAGGAGAGGGTAAGAACAGGGCTGAAAGGAAGTGAAGGAATCCTGGAGAGGAGAGAGACTCAGGGCCATGCACAACCGGATTGGCCCTGACATGCTGCTGCTGTTGCTGGGACCTTGCAGAGCAAACGTGAATATAAGAGGCAGGCAGCCGACGTAGCCCACAGACCAATCAGAGTGTAGTTTGTCATCACGCCACCCGGTGGCCAGCCAATGGGAACACAGGAGGTTCTATAAAGGTGGGCTGGCTCCGTAACTCCAACAGTCAGAGAAAGACAGAAGAAGTACCAGAGCTATGGCTCGAACCAAGCAGACAGCTCGCAAGTCTACCGGTGGCAAGGCACCACGAAAGCAGCTGGCCACCAAAGTGGCTCGCAAGAGTGCACCTGCAACTGGAGGTGTGAAAAAGCCACACCGATACCGACCAGGCACTGTGGCCCTGCGTGAGATCCGCCGCTACCAGAAGTCTACTGAGCTGCTGATTCGCAAGCTGCCGTTCCAGCGCCTGGTGCGCGAGGTTGCGCAGGATTTCAAGACTGACCTGCGCTTCCAGAGCTCCGCTGTGATGGCTCTGCAGGAGGCTTGCGAGTCCTACCTGGTGGGGCTCTTCGAGGACACCAACCTGTGCGCCATCCACGCCAAGCGTGTCACCATCATGCCCAAAGACATCCAGCTGGCCCGCCGCATCCGCGGGGAACGGGCCTAGGCCCTAGGGTCACCCACCTCGTGCTCAGTCACCCCAAAGGCTCTTTTCAGAGCCACTCAATAAGTCGGAGAAAGTGGCTGTACCACTCTGGGGTTTCTAACCACAGGGTTTCCTCTCCTTTTGCTCTCTTCTGTCTCCCCTGTGTAATGTTTAGTTAGGCTGGTTATGTGCATGGGGTAATTCAAACTTATCCAGCCTGCTCCCAGTTGAGTGCCGAGTTATGAGCTTTGTTTCCAACAGGTTGTCCTGAATCCAGCCTTGAGGATGTTCCAGATGGTAGAGCCAGGAACTAGTCTGGGTCAGTGTTACAGGAAGCAAGCCCCCCCCCCCCCCGAAGCTCACTGGGATCAGAACACACCACTCTGCAGCACAGCAGGCTCAGGGAAAGCCACTGTCTACACCTGCAGCCCTCTAAATCCAGAGCCAGCGATGCTCACCCACAACAGGCCATCTACACCCAAAGCCAGACTCTACACAGCCCTGGAGATGCCTAGCCTCACAGGGCTCTGTGGTCCTACTGGTCCCTACTTCCTCTGTGCAGCCCCAGCCTCCACTTCCTCACCTGACCCCTCTACTCCAGGGTGGGGAGTGGCTTTGGGGGTCAAATCCATTAGCGGGTACTGAAAAGAACCTCTTCCCACCCAAGGCCCAGGGGACCCGATCCTCTGCACCTAAGCCAGGACCCCAACTCCTGCTCCCACTCTCCACCCCTCAGTAATGACAAGGGAGAGCACCCCCTTCATCTCCCCACACGTCGCCAGCTCACTTTTGCTTCGCCACCCTGACCCCGCGCTGCACACTCCTCCAAGCGACCTCCAACGCCACTAGGTACCGCTCCCTGCCTCTGCTGCCTGTCCTATTAACCCCTCCCCCTTTCCCCAACGGAAAAGCTTGTGCAGCCTGGGGTCCTCACCTTTTGCATCTTCTCCTAGTAGGGCGCCACCTCCTTGCCCTCCAGGCAGATTTCCTCACCGCACAGCAATCTCTCTATCCTCCCCTTCCCCACCCCCGCCCAGGCTTACCTCCGCTCTCACCCCCAACTCGGGCTAGCCAAGCCCTTGCTTTATTTCCTCCCCTTCGAACCCTACCTCGGGCTGGAGAGGCCCAGCCTCTATCTCCTCCCGCTTCCAGCAAGCCCCGCCCCATGGCAGAGAGGCCCCGCCTCCATCTCGCTCTCCCTGCAAGTCCCGCCCCGGGGCCCCTGCCCCTTGCTGACCCGCTCGTCCTGCTGACGCCACAAAGCCCCTGTGCCAAAGCCCCTGTGCCGCACTACCCCGGCGCTCCCAGGCCCGGCGGTCACCCCATGGACTCCGCCGCGCAAACCCAGCCTTTCCCAGCCGCGTGTGTGCGTGCTGGGCCTGGGCGCCGGGCGCAGTGTAGGGCCCTCTTTTGTGAGTACCAGCTCCTCAGAGACCGCCTCCCGCCGTGTCTGGTCAAGCCTGACTCCCGCCCCACCGCCCCCCAATGCCGTGCTTCCCGCTTCTGCTGGGCTTTTCTGTCCCTGGGGAGGGTCACACTTGGGACCATGAACCAGTCTGTATTCTCAGTTCCTTAAATGAAGCCCAGATGGACAATGGGACATTAGTGGGACATTAGGAGTGCCCAGAACCCTGAGGGCCACCAGAGCTTCAGCCTAAGCCAGACATCCATGTCCACCTTTCCCTTGCCCAGCCATGTCCCCCTTCAGGCTCCTGAGGACTGGGGGCTGGGAGCTAATGTCACCTGCTCTGCTTACAGAGGGCTCTCTTAAAATTAACGTGGACCCACTTCAGAACATCTGTGGACTCCAGAGACGCCACGGCTTTAGGGATTGCAGAAGAGTGGGGTAGGAGTGAGCTCTGGGAGCTTAGACAGGTTCAAATTCGTTCTCTCTACTGGCCCCAACAAGGACCCTGTGAGGTAGGGAGGGGAAGGGTCTCCCCATGCATGAGTCCTGCCTCTTCAAATTTGGAAAAGTGCCTGTGTGTTGCATGTGCCCTGTGCATCTGCACGTCTCTGTATGCAAGCATATGTGCACATGCATGTATACCTGTGGGCATGCATGTTTACATATACCTGAGTATGGTATGTTTTAGTGTATGCATTTGTACACATATACCGTGTAGGGCACATGTTTACATGCCTGTTCCTATGTGGTGTGTTTGTTCATTTGTATGTTTTCTATGTGCACGTGTGTTTGTAAATATGCACATTTGGGGGGTATTAGTGTGAGCCCATGTTTGCATACACCTGTGTACGTTTTGTGTTCATGTGTGCATGTAAGTTTTGTGTGTGTGTGTGTGTGTGCGTGCGTGCGCGCGTGCACGTGCATAGTTATGCACATGCTTGTCTTTTCCACACTACACTTTGCTCCCTAATGGAAAAGCTGTCATCTCCCTGAAGTTCTCCTTCTTTTGTTGTACTGGGGTTTTGTTAAAGAAAAAAAAAATTATTCTGACAATGTTTAAAAGGCTCTTTATTGGAACATGTTGCAATGGAAGTGTTTCCTTAGTGCAGAAATGGGGCTCCCTCCAAACGCAGCAGAGGCAGGCAGGGACACACTGTGGCTGAGAGGATGGAAACCATGTAAGGGGAAACTTGGAGGGAAGGGGGCTTCCAGCTAAACTGGCCCAGCAGGGTACCCCCACCCAAAAGGCAGATCAGGATTAGACACCAAAGGAGGGAAGGAGGGCTTGACCTAGTACCCAAATGGGGCTACTCAGTAGGATTCTCTTTGAAGACTGGGTGGGTAGGCTGAAGATAACCCAGGGCTAGGGTCAGGCTGGAGGATGGGTTGGAGGGGCCCTGTGGCATTTAGCTAAAAAGGGTCCTTGTAGTTTCCAGGAGGCATTTCTGCCTGTTATTAAGGAATCTAAAAATAACAGCTGCCGTGTGTGGTGGCACCTGTAATCCTAACAACTGAGGAGGCTGAGGCAGGAGAATCACTAGTTTGAGACCAATCTTAGCATCTTTGTTGAATCCCTCAGCAGCTTAGTGAGACCCTGTATAAAAAAAAAAAAAAAAAAGGACTGGGGATGTAGCTCAATGGTAAAGCACTCCAGGTTTAATCCCCAGTATCAAAAATAAATTTTAAAATACAATAAAATGAATCAAACATCTGTCAACTCCCTAACTGGCTTTCCTCCCTCATCAGGAAGTACAAGGGGGAGGACAAGGGGGAGTCTTGCAATAGCACTTTTGTTTTAGTTCCCTTGTTCAAATAATTCTCAAGTCAGAGTTGTGTCAGGCTCCTGTCCTCATCTATGAAGGGTGACTTTTAGAGGAGGCAGGCAGTGTGTAGAGACAGGGAGCCAGCCCAAGCACCAGGTCTGAGGCTGAGCTGCTATCTAGGAGTTTCACAGAAACCCTCGCCTCATACTCCAGGAGACATGGATGCTGTGGAACTGGCCAGGAAGCTGCAGGAGGAGGCCACATGCTCCATTTGCCTAGACTATTTCACAGACCCCGTGATGACCACCTGCGGCCACAACTTCTGCCGCGAGTGCATCCAGACAAGCTGGGAGAAGACTAAAGGCAAGAAGGGGAGAAAGAAGCAGAAGGGCTCCTTCCCCTGCCCAGAGTGCAGGGAGGTGTCCCCCCACAGGAACCTGCGGCCCAACCGCTTGCTCACCAAGGTGGCCGAGATGGCACGCCAGCATCCTGGGCTCCATAAGCGGGACCTGTGCCAGATGCACCAGGAGCCCCTCAAGCTGTTCTGCCAGGAGGACCAGACTCCCATCTGTGTTGTCTGCAGGGAGGCTCGGGAGCACCGGCTGCACAGGGTGCTGCCGGTGGAGGAGGCTGTTCAGGAGTACAAGGTGGGCACCAGGTGGGTGGCATCTGGGACAGAAGTGTGTTTGTGTTTTGGGGCTCAGGAGCAGCACTAACAGCCCCACATGCAGGATCATGTGGTGCAAGTGTCCTCTCGCTCATGGACAAAACAGGTGGTAATCAGGCCTCCATGGTCTGGGCCAACTTAGGCATGTTGGTGTCCCTGAACACTACAGGACAATCTCCTGATTTGAGCAAAGAGGGGGAAATTGTAAAAATCAAAGTCAGGGGCTGGGGATGTGGCTCAAGCAGTAGCGCGCTCGCCTGGCATGTGTGCGGCCTGGGTTCGATCCTCAGCACCACATACAAACAAAGATGTTGTGTCCGCCGAGAACTAAAAAATAAATATTAAAATTCTCTCTCTTTCCCTCTCTCTCTCTCTCACTCTCTCTTTAAAAAAAAAAAAGATTAAAAAAAAAAGTTAAAGGGGCTCAGCCTAGAGCAGTCACAGGTGAAGTGGCAGGAGGAGAGTGAGTTTCACCAGGCTTGCCTGTGTAGCTTACTCTGGGTTCTCACTTCCCACCCTATCAGGAGACCTTTGCTTTTCTCCTGATATAGGGAGAATGTCTTCCACATGGTGGTTTCCTCCCTCTTCGGGAAGAAGAAGGACGAACCAGAGGGAGTCTTGCAGCTGCACTTTTTTTAGTTCCTTTAGCTCAAATGATGCTTATGGCACAGTTGTGTGTTAGGGTGTCAGGCTCTGAGTTGGGGTGCTGGGTGTTGTGCTCAGAGGTGAGTGTCAGGGTGTGGGCTCTGAACATCACTGCTGGCTTGTGTGTCATTAGGTAGTGTATCTGAACCCTATGCTTTTCCTTGGGAAGGTCTTTGGAGTCAATGCAGCTCCAGAGACTACAGTTCAGATTTTGGGCAGAGGTGGGGGAAACACTGACCCCAAGTTCTGTGGTTTTGTGTACCCCACAGTTGAAGTTAGAGGAGGACATGGGGTACCTTCGGGAGGAGATGACCAAGACAGAGAAACTGCAAGCCCAGGAAGAACAGACCTTGGCTGAATGGCAGGTAGGTGCTGGTCCAGGTGGGTCCTGTAGCCCCTCTCCCACCCTTTTCCGTCTCACAGGTCTCCATGTCTTACCTTTGCTCAATGGGAGATGCTGTGAAAGGCTTCCTCGTCTCCATTGCAAGGCTACAGCATGAGAAAAAAAAAATCCTTCTACCCTTCTGGGTTTGGTGGCTGGCCCAGGAATTAAACCTACATAAGACAGGTGAACAGGAGGGAAGGAAGACAATTTTTAATTATATAGACATGCAAGTAGTGGGAAGGAGGAGCCTCACACAAAAATTAGATTCAGATAGTAGAGCCTTCTAGACCATTTGAAGCTTGTCAGAGGACATATTCCAACATGTTCAAAGATTTTTTTTTTTTTTAAGATGGGGTCATGCAATCTCAAAAAAAAAAAAAAAATTAATGTTCTGTAATTCAGGCTGGCCTGGCACTCCTGGGCTTAAGTGAACCTCCTGCCTCAGCCTCCTTAGGAGCTGGAATTTCAGGCTATTCCACCAGGCTCAGCTGGTTTATTTCATTCATTCATTTCAATTGGGTTGAACCTCATGGCTGAGTGTGGGGGGTCCCGCACCTGCAGGACAGAGTGAAGGAAAGGAGACAGCGCATCGTGGTGGAGTTTGAGAAGGTGGCCCTCTTCCTGGTGGAAGAAGAGCGGAGACTCCTCCAGGCTCTGAAGGAGGAAGAGGAGGCAATGGCGGCGAGGCTGCAGGACAGTAAGGCCTGCCTGGACCAGCAGGGCCGCTCCCTTGACCTGCTGCTGCTGCAGCTAGAGGACCGAAGCCATCGGGAGCCCCTCCAGATGCTGCAGGTGAGACCAGCAGGGCTGCCATGGCAAACACAGGTGGAACCTCTTGTATCAGAAATGCGGGGACCCAGGACCATTTCAGATGCCAGATCTTTTTGGATGTGGGATTATTTGCATAGACATAATGAGATATCTTGGGTCAGGATCCCTGTCTAGACAGGAAATGCATTTGTTTTACTAAAGGTGGTTTTGTACAGTGTTTTTAGTGTACTTGCATTTTAACTGTGACCTACCCCATGAGGACAGGTATGGAATGTCCTACTGTAGTGTCAGGTCAGCGCTCAGAAAAGAGTAAGATTTGGGAGCATTTCAAATTTCAGATTATCGATGCTTAACCTGTACCAATGGCTTAAAAAACACAAGTTTACTCTCACAGTCCTGAGGCTGAAGTCTGGGGTTGAGGTGTGGGTGTGTTGGCTCCTCCTGAGGCCTCTCCCCTGGGCTTGTAGTGGGCCCTCTGCTCCCTGTCCTCCCCTGGTCATCTTCTGGGTGTCTGTGTCATGATCTCTTATGAGAATACCAGTCAGGCTGGATCAGAGGCCACCCACCCCATTGAATTGTCTCCAAATACAAATGGCCCTGCTAAATGTTTTCGATTCTGACATTTCAATTTTAAGGTGGTGCAAAAGCAACTGCATTCAGTAAAAATGGAGCTTTGCATTTTGAATCTGGGTCTTTTCTGGGGCTGTCAATATCCTGCTTTTTTGATACTGCTGTGGCAGTAGTGAGCTGTAGCTCTGTCACCCCAGGAGGCCAAGAGTGAGCCAGTCTGCAGCACAAAGCTGCACTGCTCAGCTGGGGTGCTAGCCGGTCAGGCGTGCTAACTGCACTTTCCTCTTATGGAATCTTCAGTTTTCAATGAGTTGATCAGGACATGGCCTCATCACCAGCCTAGGATCATTCCAAGTAAGATCCTGGGGACTAGGACTTCCAACTTATGAGACTGATCCCTTCCAGGCTCAGGGATTTGGTCTGGGGCCCCTGGCATCCACATGGGCAACTGGGGCGAGGACTCACTGTCACCTTGTAGGGGAGGCACACTGGCTAGCATGTACTCTGGGACCTTTTGTGGACAAGCAAAATCACAGGGCTATAGGAATGTGCTGTGTGCTATAGCCCTTGGCTGTGGCCAAGGGACAACATGTGCTGATGTGTGGTAATGGCTCATCGAGTACATGGAGTAACTAGAATCTATGGCAAAAAAAAATTTCACTGTGGACCTTGAGACACCCCCCAACACACACACACACTTTCAGAACTGAAACTGGATCATGCAGGATCCCAGGTGTCTGATGTGTGTTGGGTTAGGTGAAGCAGATGGTCTCCTTGTAGGAATAGGAGGGAGGATACCAAGGGGGCGGGGGGGGGGGCTTGATTTCCAGCAGAAAATCACATCCCTGGTCTGCCCCAAAGAAGTGGCCGATAAAAGTGGCCCGCAGATGGAGGGACAGAGGGGAGAGTACAGCTGCAGCCCACGATGGGTCCCACCTGCACACCATCCCCAGCTCTCCTCCTTGTTGTTTGCAGGACATGAAGGATGCCCTGGACAGGTATGCTATGCAGTGCAATGCAGGTGGTGGCGGAGGTGGGCGAGGGAGGCCTTGGCATGGACCCAGAGGGGACAGCGAGTCTGTGTTCACTGGAGGAAGAAAAACCTGAGTGTGCAGTACCCTGAGGTGGCCCTACCCACGGCGCTCAAGACTGTGTGCAGGGTTCCCGGGCAGATAGAGATCCTCAAAGGTTTCCAAGGTAAGGGAGCCCAGGTGTGGACCCAGATCCATCCCAATCCTGCTGGTAATGCCCGACCCCACCCTCCACCATAGGGCTAGAGCTGCTGATGGGGGTCTTGGGCTGCATTGTGTGGTCAGATTCAGCCCTGCCCTTCCACCTAGTCAACTTACTGGTTGTTATATCTGGATTAAGCTCCCCTTTACCCTCATTTACACATGGCCACCAAGAGTCACATGTCATGGGGGATGGGGCCATTAGATAACCCTGACTCACAGTTGGACTCAAGGAGGGGAGGCATTGAGGAGCCAGGGAGAAGTGGGGCCACTCAGCCACAGCAGCCATCTGCCCTACCACACCTGGGGCTGTGCCCTTCCACCTTTGACCTCATGTCTGCCTGGGCCTGTCTACAGAGGATGTATTGCCGGACCCCACCTCCGCATACCCGTATCTCCTCCTATATGAGAGCCGCCAGAGACGTTACCTGAGCCACCTGCCAGAGAGCAGCGCCCCCCAGAGCAAGGACAGGTTTATGGCCTACCCTTGCGCTGTGGGCCAGAAGAGCTTCTCCTCAGGGAGGCACTACTGGGAAGTGGGCATGAACCTCACCGGGGATGCACTCTGGGCACTTGGTGTGTGCAGAGACAACGTGAGCCGCAAGGACAGGGTGCCGAAGTCCCCCGAAAATGGGTTCTGGGTGGTGCAGCTGTCTAAGGGGAAGAAGCCCTTGTCCACAGTGCCCCCTGCACCCCCGGTCACACTCATGGAACCTCCCAGCTACATGGGCATCTTCCTGGACTTTGAGGCCGGGGAGGTGTCCTTCTATAGTGTGAACGATGGGTCCCACCTGCACACCTACTCCCAAGCCACCTTTCCCGGGCCCCTGCAGCCGTTCTTCTGCTTGGGGACTCCCAAATCGGGCCAGATGGTCATCTCCACGGTGACTCTGTGGGTGAAAGGGTAGGCTCAGGCATGGGGTGGGGCAGAGGCCCTGCAGGGCTACCTGGGTCTCCTCAGAAGGGTCCTTCCTTTGCTTGCCATGGCCACCTGCCAGGCTCCTCCGTGTGACTCAGAGTCATCCACTATGCAATCCCTCAAAGTATAACCATGATTAAAGGGGTCAAATGTTGAGACTGCATTGACAGATGCTTCCAAGAGGGAACTGTGGAAAGAAAGGGCATTTCCTAGTGACCACTGTGTAAACACTAGCACAACAGCAGTCTAGTGTGTGTGTGTGTCTGTACTTCACCCAAATTTACTAACTACTTGTGTCCTGGCTTCCCGGGGCCTTCTTCCACTATAGGGTCCTTTACGGGGGGAAAAAGGGGGGGGGGTAGTGGAGTGGATTTGAGAAGGGCTGAGCCCCTAAAAAGCCTCAGCTGACCACCCTATCCTTCTGGCCCCTTTAAGTTGCATAAGAAACAAAATCCAAAAACGATAAGGATAATTTGGGGGGTTTCTTCTCCCCTTCCCCCAACCCGTTCCTAACAGTCCCTCTCCAAGAACAGTCACCAGCGCCCCCAGAATGCCATACTACAGACACTCCTGGCCGGGATAAAGGGGTGCCCCTGGAACCACGCAACTCCAGGATGGTTTCTATTGTGGGCGCGGAAGGGAGAAGGTAGTGGCACGATACTCTCTTCCACTCCCATCCTAATACTCCCACGGTGGCCCGCCCCGGAACGCGTGCGGAGCCTGGTGTGTCCAACGACACAGGTCACGGGATAAGCGTGCGAGTTTCCCGGTCCGGAGGTGGCGGTGTGTGCATAGCCCCTGCATCTGCACACGCTCTGCACCCCACTCCTGGCCCCGGGAACCCGAGCCACTGGGACACCGGTCGCAGTGCCTGGTCACTCAAGGACACACCGAGTCTGTCCGGGCCGCGTGACAGACTACCGCCAATCTGCAGCAAAAGCGGGTGGTTCCAAAAAAAAAAAAAAAAGTCCGTTTCCTGTTTCCGCCGTGGTTCCGCTTCCTGCCGACGTCCCGGAGCCCCACTGCCCCAGCGGCTTGGCGCTCCGGCCCAGGCCGCCCGACCCGGCGGAGAGCGCGCCATGGCCGCCCCTGACCTGTCCACTAACCTCCAAGAGGAGGCCACCTGCGCCATCTGCCTCGACTACTTCACTGACCCGGTGATGACCGACTGCGGCCACAACTTCTGCCGCGAGTGCATCCGGCGCTGTTGGGGTCAGCCCGAAGGCCCGTACGCCTGCCCTGAGTGCCGCGAGTTGTCCCCGCAGAGGAACCTACGGCCCAACCGCCCGCTCGCCAAGATGGCCGAGATGGCGCGGCGCCTGCATCCGCCATCGCCAGTCCCTCACGGCGTGTGCGCCGCGCACCGCGAGCCGCTGGCCGCCTTCTGCAGCGACGAGCTGCGCCTGTTGTGCGCTGCCTGCGAGCGTTCGGGGGAGCATTGGACGCACCGCGTACGCCCGCTGCAGGACGCGGCCGACGACCTCAAAGTGCGTCCCTTGTGCGGAGTGGGGCATGGCCTGGCGGGGAGTGGGGGTGGGAGTGCAGCCTGTTCCGGGGCGGGGAAGCTCTAGGCGAAGCCTGTCCTGGTTGGGAGGAGGGCACTGGGTTGCCTGGCCTCTGAGCACAGTCGCGGCTAGGGGACTGAGGGGAGCCGGGGTGGGGTGGTGTCGGGACAGCTAGGAGGCACATCCTATCCCAGCCCTTGGAGAACTGGAACGGCAGTCACGCCGGGGTAGGGGACTCAGGAGGCTGCTGACCAGTTCTTGTGAGGATAGTGGGGTTCCTGGTGGCCTCTGGGAGCCGCGGGTCCCTTGTGAAGGAGTCCAAAGCAAGGGAAAACAGAAGAGAAGTTGTGGGCCTATTGCCCTAGGTGAACTACTGCTGGCGGACTAAGAGCGTTGTGGGCAAGTGCAGAGATCTGCCTTGGGGCTACTGCTGGGTCCTGGGGAAGATGAGGGGACAAAGGCATTGTTTGCCTGGGTCCTTCCATGACTGCCCTGGATTTCTAGATGGAGTAGTGGGGACCTTTTTTCCATGTGTTGATGGACCTCACCCACCTTCTTTCCCCACGTCTTTCTGGTTTAAATCAAACAAACCCATATTGAAGAGTCTCAGGGCTTCTGGTTTCCTAGGTATTGAAAAGATGGGTCAAAGTTTAAAAGTTTTGTGCGATGATGAAGGTGGAATCTGTGCCCTTGGGGATACTAGTCAACCCCCACCCTAGTCCTCAGGCTTCTTGGCTGCATCTTCTCAGTTTTGTGCATCTGCTAACAAGTATATCAGGTCTACCTTGAGCTGACGTTTGGATCAATACTCAGCCCCATGTCACCATCAGGGCAGGAAAGTGGGGCAGCATGGCCAGCCCACTCCTATAGTGGATGAGTATGTGGATCAAAGTAAACACATCCTTAAGGAGATTTAGAACAACCCAAACTGGAGCCCCCAAGTCACTTATTTGTAGAACTCGCTGTTCAGTGGTGCACAGAACTAAGAAAAAGTGGAAATGAGAAGTTGGGATCAAGGGCAGAGCAATATAATTATACTGGTCCCAGATCCTTTTGATGATGCTAAGGGCTTGGGGGAAAAGCACTAGAAGTCAAGGGTCCTAGCTGTTGCAGGCTGCCTGAACAACCCTGGCCAGGGCAGCTCATGTGTCACCCACATGTACAGCTCCCAGTTCTGCAGGCCAGAAGCCCAAGGTCACAGTGTGGCACATTTCTATCTGGTGAGGGCTGCTTCTGCTTCTGGTTGCCCTGTATACTCACATGGAGAAGGGGTAGAGGGTTCCTGGGGTCCCTTTATAAGGGCACTGATCCCATCGTGAGGCTCCTATCTCGTGACCTCATCACTTCTCAGAGACCCCACCTCCTGACACCATCATCTGGGGCGTGGATTCCAATCTCTGAATTTGGGAGATGTACACATGCAGACCACAGCATCTGACTTAGCACAGGTCTTTATGAACCAACAGGTTGTAAAGAAGAGAAGGGGAGGGAGGCTTGGAGAGTGAGCTGGGTGCTTCCAGAGCCAGCTTGGTAGGGACACTGTCCTGTTCAAGGAACCTGAATATGCAGAGCACTCTGCAAAAGTGAGCAGGGCCTGGGGTAGGGCAACAGGGTTGAGAACCAGACGTTCAGTCCCATGTGAGGAAAAACAACTTGGCCTTGACTATTGATTGATAGGGGAAAGGGGGTCTCAGCCAGGGTGGCCAGAGGAGGATGCTGCCCATGGAATCACACTGTTCTCCCAGGAGGAACTTGGGACGAGGTCAGGTGTGAAAGGGCAGAATCCCATGTGCAGGCATGGGCCCTGCCTGGTGTGTCCCAGTGCTGGGCTGGGGTCCATGGCTCTGCCTGGTCTGTCTCCCCAGGGGAAGCTGGAGAAGTCCCTGGAGCACCTGCGGAAGCAAATGGAAGATGCCCTACTGTCCCAGGCCCAAGCAGAGGAGACCTGTGCCTTGTGGCAGGCAGGTGCCAGGCTGTGGGCTCCTGGGAGATGGGTCAGCAGGTGGGGGTGGAGGATCTGGTGGTCATTGCTGTGGCCTGGCCTCACTGGGACCAGGCCAAGGTGGGTGAGGGAGGACTGACTCTAAGAGTCAAGTAGAATGCCTTGGTTGTAGCGGGGTGTCTTGCCCCACTGTATCCCTGCTAGGGTCCTGGCACACTTGTGATGGTAGATTGCGGGTGGGAGGAATGAAGCATGAGAGGAGGCCCAGGAATAGATCTGGAAGTCAGTGAGGAGCTGGACATGGAGAGACCCCAGGTGGTGTGTTTAGGGGTCAAGGATGATGGTGTTGGGCCTTGAAGGTGGATTTGGGGTGAGGGTGGGTCCAGATGGCAGGTTTGGGACCCTGGTGCCAGCAGTGGTCTGGCTTAGTCAGCTGAGCTGTCCTGCTGTCCATCCTCCGCCCCCTACCCTGCAGAAAATGGTGGAGAGCCAACGGCAGAATGTGCTGGGTGAATTTGAGCGCCTGCGCCGCCTGCTGGCCGAGGAGGAGCAGCAGCTGCTGCAGAAGCTGGAGGAGGAGGAGCTGGAGGTGCTGCCCCGGCTGCGTGAGGGCGCTGCAAGGCTGGGCCAGCAGAGTGCTCAGCTGGCCACGCTCATCACAGAGCTGGAGGGCCGCTGCCAGCTGCCGGCTCTGGGACTTCTTCAGGTGAGTGAGCCCCAGGCTGGTGTGCACATGGCTGGAGACTGGATTACCCGAGGGGTGGAGCAAGAGAGTGCAGGCAGTGTGGGGCAGAGGTGACCCAGGACTCAGGTTGGTCTGTGAGGGCTGTCCCCTGCTGTGAAATGTTGCAGGGCCAAGTGAGGTGCCCAGCCGTTCTCCCACCCCACACCCAGTGTAGAAGAAAGAACCTCCCTGCACCCAGATGATCTCTTAGGTACAGTCTTCTCTTGTATCTGGGAGACACTGAAATCCACCTGGCTGCAGTTCCCTGCCATGTAATATTGTATATCAGCTGCATGGTCCCCCGTGTGTTTAAGTGGTCTCTAGTGACATACAGCACCTGCTGTATGGAAACGTAGTGTAAATGCAGGGAAAACGCTGGTGTGCCTTCAAGTATGGACATGATTTTTTTTTTGCAAAAGTTTTCAACTCACTATTGGTTGAATCCGCAGACTCAGAACCGGTGCATGGGGAGGGTCAAGTGCACTCTGCAAGAACCTGCCATTTATCTTCAGTTTTCTCAGGCTCCCCAGGGCAGCTGCTCTGTGGACACAGCAGATTGGGCTTTGCTTGGCCTGCCCCATGACATGTGTGGCCCTGGAAAACACTCCTGCTCTTCTGCTTCTGGCTGCCCTGGATCACCCTTGCCCATCTTTGCCTGGACTCCCCATAGGGGCTCCTGTGTTCTCAGCAGGAAGTCCATGCCCCTTGTCCTCTGTCCCCACCACTGGGCACTTGAGTATCTCCACTCTGGCCTGCTGGCTTAGTCTGTTGTAGCAGAGTACCTGAGATGGTAATTTATGAAAAAGAGGTGTGAAGAGGTTTACTTTGGCTTATAGTCTGGAGGCTGAGAGGTCCAAGGTTGGTGGGTGCATCTGGAAACAACCTTCTTGCTGGTGGGGAATCTGCAGACACTCATGATCCAATGCCCTCTGGAAGGCCCCACCTCCTGACACCTAATAGAGTGGTCAAGTTCAATTCCAATGGGGATGTTTGAACCATGGCAGGTGCTCCCATGTGTTTTGGGAGAGCTGGTTCTGCTCTGAACCTGGCCTTCTCTTGCCATCTTCCCAAACCAGAACACTTGGCATGCCCTTCCCCACTGTCTTGGTGGCAGGTCAGTTGACCCTAAAAGGCTTGACCATTGCTTTGGGACCTGCTGGTCTTTCCACAGGCTCCATGCCTGAGCCTCCCTGGCTGTCAAGTAGTGGTGACTGCTGAGTGGCCCATGCGGGCTGGAGTTGGGACTCGGTGGACTTTTCTGTAGGAGAGGCCATGGGTGGCCAGCAGGCAGGGCTCTTGCCTTCCATGGGGCAGCCTGCTGGCAAGGAGCCTCCCACTCCAGGTGACTCTTTCAGGGACAGGGAGAGGTGTCCTGGGGACAGTGAACCTGACCCTGTGCCTACCCTGAGCTGCCAGAGGGTTGGAGCCTGTGCAACAGGACTGGCTCAGGAGAAGATGCTGGTCAGTAAAGCAGGGGTCCGCTGTCCAGAAGGCTGAGGAACCCTTGTGGAGGACTGACAGGTTTTTTCCTTAAATTTCTTTAGGTTCTTAAAACTCTTGGTTTTTAGCCAGCAGGTAACAAGCACACATTCATGGGGTGCAGTGTTGTATCTTGATACTTTGTGTTGTGTATTTTTTTTTAAGTTGGGGTAACTTGTCTATCCATCACTAGGTCCAGTTGTCTTTTCTTTGTAGTGAGACCATGGAAAACCTCTCTGCCAGCTACTTCAAAATATTCAGCATGATACTGTGAACCACACTTACCCTCCTGAGATCCTGAACATCAGAATATCAAGAAGGCTATAGGAGGAAGGGGTGATCAGAAAGGGGGTTGCTCACGGATTGTGGGGAGGGCCAGGCTTTCACCAGGCAGCCCACCTACGGCCTCCGTCTCCACCTGTCTCCTCTCTTGCTCCTCCTTCCCGCTTACCTGCTGCCTACCTGTTCCCCTCAGTCAGGAGGTTGCCAGCACCTGGGGAGGGTCACCTATTGCCCCAGGGACAGATGCCCTTCGGTGAAGGGGGAGGACCTTGGTGACTTGAACCCACCCCTGGGTCCCGCTGCCCTCCAGGACTCCTCAGTGGCCTATTTTGTGGTGCAGTGAGTTTCCTAAATGGACGTGTCTGTGTCACACCCCTTCCCTAGGGGTACAGACCCCCCCCCCCTTTTGCAGCTCTGCCCAGGCCACATGACCACCAGGACAGCTGTGCCCTGCTGTTGTGTGCTCACCAGCCTGCACATGCCCAGGCCCTTGCATGTCTATCTTCCAGCATGTGCCAGTTGGTCTGCTTGGGGCCTCATGACCCTCCAGGAGTCTCCCTTTCCCGTCCAGGTCTGTGTGACCTGTTGCCCTTAACAGTTACCTCCTTGTGTGAGAGAGACTGCCTCTGTCTGCCCCACCTGCAGGGAGCCTGGGACCTGGGCGAGCTGGCCTCCAATAACTGGGTGTGTGACTCACCTGGGGCTGCCACATAAAGTCCAGACTGTGCCTTAAGTAAGTGACAGGTTTGTGTTCTCATAACCCTGGCGACTGGAAGTCCATGGTGTCAGCAGGTTGGACGTGTTGACTCAATTTCTGTGGCTATGAAACACTTGAGGCGGGTACTTCATGAAGAGAGTTGATTGCTTAACTCATGATTTTGGAGGCTGAAAGTCCAAATCACCCAGCATGGCTCTGTGGGGCCCTTTGGAGTGTCACATAATGGCAGACGTGACAACACTTAGCACATCCAGGGGAGAGGCCGCAGGAAAGCAGGAAGCAGGGTGGGGAGGCTCCACCAAGGGTCAGGCCCACCTTCCAGGTCCACCGTGCCAGCTGCACATACTAGGTCCCCACCCGGGCCCTCAGGAACACACACCATAGCCAGACCATGGCCGCACACGCCTCCTGGCACCATCTTCCCGTGCCCTCCATGGTCAACACTCTTGTGTGTCTTGTGTCCTGATCTCTTCTTGCGGGCACATGACCCCCATTGGGTAGGGGCCCACACTAACTGTTTCAGTTTCACTTCCTCTTAAAAGTCTGTTGAAGGCTGGTCCCCACTGCAGGGTGTGGGGGTTCCTGGGAAGTGGTGGGGTCCCGAGGGCTCCAACCTCACTGTGGAGTGATCAGGTGATGGTTTTTCACTGCTGGCATTACAGGGAGGTGCTGGTGAGCGCAGGAGGGAGCCTGGTTGGAGGGTGCATGTCCCCGAGGTTGTATCTGGAAGGGTGTCACTGGTCCCCAGCACTCCCCCACCCCATCTGTCTGTCTGTCTATCTGACACCTTTCCTCTACCACACCCTTCCATCATGGTGTCCTCTCTCACCCCGAAGTAACGGAGCCACCCAGTGTGACCCAAACCTCTGAGACTGAGCCCAAATGAATCTCTAGGTTTCATGTGTTGTGTTGTTTTGTTTTGCTTTTTTAGTTGTAGATGAACAAATGCCTTTATTTTGTTTATTTATTTTTATGTGGTGCTGAGGATGGAACCTAGTGCCTCATACATGCAAGGCGAGCGCTTACTGCTGAGCCCCAGCCCCTCTAGGTTATTTCCTGTTGCTGTGATGGGAAGCTGAGGAGCATCCTGCTTCTCCAGATACAGTTGTGCTTGGAGGTCCCAGGGGTCAGGACTTCAGCGTTGCATTTGGGGGGCAGAGGCAGGGGTCTGCCTTGATGTTGAGTATGCTGCTGTCACCTGTCAGCCTGAGACACAGGCAAGAGGAGTGTCCAGGAGGAAAGTGGAGCTAGGGTCCTAGGGGTGGTGGGGCAGAGCCGGAGACCTGAGGTGCCGCAGGGTGGGTTCCTGGTGGCAAGATACCACAGTGCCACCCATTTCTAGAAGCCTGGACACAGGCCTTGCCAGCCCCTGGCACGTGGGGGGATGGGGGACACACTCTCCTTCATGTTCTCTGCTCAAGTGTCCAGGCCTCTGCCCAGCATCTCATGACACATGCTCAGGGTGGTTTTCTGAGCTCAGTGCTGTTTCTGCTGCCCCAGACCAGGTGGCAGGTGTTAGTACTGAGCATGTATTTTTTCTCCTTTTTACAGGACATCAAGGATGCCCTACGCAGGTATGAGCCCTTGCCTCACCCAGGGCAGGTGGCAGGGGGTGGGGTGGGGCCTACCTGCTGGCCATGGTGGTAAAATGGGCTGCTTCCCACAGGGTTCAGGATGTGAAGCTGCAGCCCCCGGAGGTGGTGCCCATGGAGCTGAGGACCGTGTGCAGGGTCCCGGGGCTGGTAGAGACTCTGCGGAGGTTTCGAGGTGGGTAGCTGACCCTGGGAGGGGGCTGCTGAGAGTCCAGGTGACCAGTGAGACCAGCGGTTAGCACACCCAGCCGTCTGCAGTGTTCTGGACACCAGTAAGGTGTCCCAGTGACTCAGCTCAGCTCTGACCGTCTCCCTGGAGTTCCGTAGACCCCACAGGTTAAAGGCTCAGTCCCTTGGCACGCAGGTGGCATCCATAGTTTTAACCTGCCTGCTGTAGATCAGAATTCCCGTGACCCCTGCCTCACATGAGATCATTTGCCTCAATAGATCACAAAACTCAAGGGAACACTTACTATTACCAGTTAATTAAAGAATACAACTGAAAAGCGGGGATGGAAGACATGGGTAGCCCGAAGTTTGGGGAAGGGCGAGGGTGCTCCGTGCCCTCTCCGAGCACCATCCTCCTGACACTTAGGAAGGTTCCAGCCTGGAACTTGCCCCCCCTGCTCAGGGCCCTTCCCAGAGCTCGCTCCTGGCTGGTTTTGGCCGGTCATTGGTCATTGATGATGAGCTCAGCTCCTCCGCTGCCTATAGGGCAGTCAGTAGACATGCCTGGACATTCGGTCTTCTGGGCCCTAGATTCCATGGGGCTGTCTAGGACCCACCTGGGCCACGACAGGAGCTCCTCTGTGCTGGGCCCCGCCTGGCCTGGAGGTGGACACTCAAAGACTACTTGGCACACAGCTAGGGTGGGGATAGCCACCTTCTCATCCCAGAGAGGGGTCTTTATGTCACTCTGGGTGTGGCCTGGTCCAGCAGAGCCCAGTGAGGAAGCTGGGCCAAAGCTCACAGACTTGAATTTGGGATTAAAAGAAGGGAGAAAGCACTCAGGATTTCCTACATTATCTGATGTAGAAATGGGGAGCAGTTTCTAGAACATTCTCAATCATGACCAGTAGTGGCTAGGTGAGGTTTTTCCAGGGAGGTCAGTAGCCTCCTGAGGAAAGCTAATCCCTTTAGCAGGCTGTGAGGGTGGATGAACCTTGGGTGAACAGCACACAGGTTGATGAGTGGGTTTTGCCAGCAGGGCCCGAGCAGGGGTTGCTGCCTTGGAGACCACCATGCCTGGTGACCTCCAGCTTCTCTCTTCAGGGGACGTGACCCTGGACCCGGACACCGCTAACCCTGAGCTGGTCCTATCTGAGGACAGGAGGAGCGTGCAGCGAGGTGACCTGCGGCAGGCCCTGCCCGACAGCCCTGAGCGCTTTGACCCTGGCCCCTGTGTGCTAGGTCAGGAACGCTTCACCTCGGGCCGCCACTACTGGGAGGTGGAGGTGGGGGATCGTACCAGCTGGGCCCTGGGTGTGTGTAGAGAGAACGTCAACCGCAAGGAGAAGGGGGAGCTGTCCGCTGGCAATGGTTTCTGGATCCTGGTCTTCCTGGGGAGCTACTTCACCTCCACGGAGCCGGCCTTCTCTCCGCTCCGGGACCCTCCTCGGCGCGTGGGGATCTTTCTGGACTATGAGGCTGGACACCTCTCATTCTACAGCGTGACTGATGGGTCCCTGCTGTTCATCTTCCCAGAAACGACCTTCTCTGGGACACTCAGGCCCCTGTTCTCTCCTCTCTCCAGCAGCCCCACCCCTATGACCATCTGCCAGCTGAAAGGCAGGTCAGGGGACACCCTGGTTCCCCAGTGACTATGTGTCAGGGACCTAGTCATGGAGTCTGGGTTTCTCGGCCATGTGGGGACCCTGGAGGAGGGGAGTGTGTCCTGAATGGTAGGAAGAACATAGTGCCTTCTGAGTGCTCCAAGCCCTGCTGTGGGGACTGCATCAGGGTGCAGGTGGGCTCTCCTCCCTGTGGGCCCTCCACAGGCCCCCTGAACCCTCTGTACCAGCGTCTCTGGCCTCGAGTTCCAAGAGCTTGGTGAGCCTGGCTGGAAGTGCACAGTTGGCCCTGTCCTAGCCCTGGAAGCTCCCTGAACCCCAGCTCAGTGAAGATGCTGGGCAAGGCCATGGGAAGCCCTCCAGCCCCTCAAGGCTTGGTGCCATGAATTGGAGGGCTCTGGATAGGGATGAGGGGACAGCAGACAGAGCCTTCAGGGAGGGGGATGGCCTGGGCAGGAAGTGAGGGGACCTGCCTGGTGACAGGTTGTACATGCTCTATATACAGGATGCCTGGTAAGTGGTGCTCTGGGTGATATTCCCTGGCCTAGTGGCCTCCTGCTGGTGGCTGTGCAGGCAACCCCTGTGCACCTCCCCAGGCCTCCTGGCCCACAACAGGATAGCAGTGACCCCAGGAGAACCCCAGGATTGCTTTTGTATTAGATTGGGATTTTATTCCTGTTTTATTTATTGTAATGACAGTGTTTCCACCCTAAATAAACTTTGACTACAGTTGCCGCCTGCTTCTCCTGTGGGTGAAGAATGGGAACCCAATGGAGCCAGGCTCCAGAGACTACCACAGCCAGGACTGACCCTGGGTCCTCCCCAGCTCTCAGGCGTGACCGACTTTGGTGAATGTTTCCCAAGTGCCTGTGATTGAATCCTGGCCCACTCTGCCGTTCCTGTTGGACTTCCCTCAGGGGCCTGCTAGGTGCTGCTACACCACTTGCACCAGATCACGGGCAGTAAGGCAGTGGCATGGCTTGCCACTTGTCGGCTGACAGTGCTATGAGTGACTGGGACAGGACAGCCACCAGGGGCTTTGGAGGTGGTCCCAGGACAGCCTGGCCATAGGGTGAGAGATGTGGGGTACCAGCTCAGAGAGGGAGCTGACCCTGAGGCTCCTGACTGGAAGTACACATTAGGCCCTGTCCTAGCCCCAGAAGCTTCACAGTCTTCAATCCCGCCACCCTTATTGTTGGCCAGCAGCTTCTATGGGGGGTGGGGGGAGGGACACGCAGGCTCTTACTGGGGCTGCTGGTAGGGCACGCCCAGGTCAGAGCCAGGAGCTGCCCGCTCAGTGGGTTTGTCCTGCTCCACCAGAGGGTGATGGTTTTAAGTGGACCTGACTAGCTCCTGTTTTTTCAGAGCCCCACCCTACTTGCCACTCTTCTTTTGGCTCACTTGGGGCTTGTTTTGCTCCTGCACTTGACCTTGGTGCCTTGGCCACAGACTCCAGGACAGTGTCCTTGTACTACCCTTTCGACTGTGCTCCTCAGTTCTTCTGCAGCTGCGACTGCCCCCTTCCCTTTTCCTTATGTTTTGGGATGGCAGCAGGGCACCACTGGAAGAGGTTCTCCACACTCGTTTCCCAGGAGAAGGGGGCAAGCTTCCACGAGCCAGAGAGTCTCCCAGGGCCTCCTTGGAATCCCTGTAGGGGAAGCAGGTAGGACAGGGCCAGTGGGCCAGAGCTGGCTGGGCCGGGTGGCTCCAGTGGCCTCTGGAGCACGGGACAGTCCCTGGTTGTCTATACCTGGCCCTGGGTGACCAAAGCAGGGCTGCCCTGTGCTGTGGGCAAAGGCTCTGGACCTCTGCAGTGAGATGTGCGGTCTGGACAAGCCCTCTGCTCTCTAACAAGTGGCCAGCCCCACAAGGATGGCAGTCTGTCCCTACTCTGGGCAGCCACAGCACCAGAGGCCCGAGATCACAGAAGAACCCTGCGATGGCTGTGGGCTCTGATGAGAGGCTGCCAAGAGCCAAACTGGAGTCCAGGACACGTGTGGGCCTGCTTGCCAAGGTCTGCATCTGCAGGCCCCCTGCAGTCCCTGAGTCGAAGCCTGGCCACCAACCTGTGCTGCTGTGGAAGGACCTGCAGGAGGTGGGCCTGGGGAGGCTTGGTACCAGTCCCCAGCACCATAGAGGAAGTGGGTGGGAAGGTAGGTCATGGGGATGTGCCCTTAAAGGGGGCCTGGAGACATCCAGTGTCTGGTGAACAGAGCCCCTCCACCGTGCCCCTCTCTCATGATGTACTGTGCTGCCACAGTCCAAAGCAACAGGGCCAAGTGACCTTAAAGCCCAAATAAACCTTTCCTCTCTTTAATTTGAAGATATTTATTACAGCAACAGAAAGCTAACAGTTTGCCAATTCACATTTTTCCCCTTATTTTGTACATTGTTCATAGGGGCTATTGAAATCTCTATTACTGTTGAATTGTCTATTTTTCTCTTTAATTTCAACAGATTTTGCCTTGTGAAGTTTGAGGCTGTTTTATCATGTCTTTTTGATGAATCAATCTTTTATCACTATGTATCCATTTGTTTCTAATTTAGACTTTAATTAACATGTGTTGTGCAACATGCAATGATAAAATCAAGGTAATTAGTGTTTCTGTCTCCTCCAATATTTACCACAGCTGAGCACTGGGAAGCTAATTGCTGGGGAAAAGTGAAACATAGCCATGGTGAGTTGACATCTGCCCCCAGCTTGAGAGGCTGTTGTTGAAGACAGGCGCACTGGCTCCCTGAGCAGGGCCTGCACTGCAGCTGGTGGTGTGGACAGAATGGGAACTGTGCAGACAGGCTGGAGCCTGGAGCCTCTAGACTGGAGGCAATCCGCCAGGCCCCTTGGGGGGACACTGCTCTGCTCTGAAGAGTTGTTCTTTGTTTTCTTTAAGTCCACTCTGTTGGTCTAACGAGGTCAGTTCTCTCATGGTTCTCTTTTCCAGGGTTATCATTTTCTGCTTTTAATTCTGAACTGTTTGTGTCATTTGATTTGAAGTGTGTGTATCTTATAAACAACACTGTGGTTTGTTTGTTTCCATTCAGTGCCAATCTCTGCCTTTTAAAAAATGACATTTAAAAAATTTAATTTCCATGGGCCATGTCTGACTTTTACCTAGAGCACCACGCGCTCTTGCCTGGGTTACGTTGCACGGTTTACGTACTCTAACCTTTGGCTATTTTCTCTCTATTGCATGTTTTGAGTTTATTGTCCCTTTGCCATTTTTTTTTTTTTGCATCAAGTAATTGTTTTCTAGTGGTCCACCTTAGTCTTTTTTTTTTTTTCTATTGATGGGGACAAGGCTATTGATTGCTCTCAGGATTACAATATGAGGGAGATGTAGAAGAGCCTCGGCGTCCAGGGCAAGATGGCGAGGAGGAAATTGGGGGCAGGTCCAGAACAAAGAGGTCTGGAAAGGGGCTTCTAGGGAGGTCAACTTCCTGGCTGACAAAAGAGCTTGTGGACGCCAGCAGGGGACCCAACCAGACAGACAATTCTGTACTTGTGCTCCTAAGTGGGGGATCCAATATAAAAACCAAAACAGACGCATGGACACAGGGGACACCAGTCAATAATAGCGAGGAGAGCATGGGCAGGGGAGGAGATAAGGAAAGGAGGAAATTCCAGAGACCATAAAAAGAACAGGCCAAAATTCCCCACGGACTCCTGACTCGGGGCCCTTCTCTTTGGAGAAGTCTGTGTCCCCTGCTTTTGCATCACCCTGCTGCTTGCTTGCTGACCGTGTCCTGCTCTTCAATTCTTTGCTGAACAGAGACAATGAACCCAGCACCCCTACATGTATCTTAATTTATCAGTCCCCCTCAGACCAATACTTAATTTCAGTACAATATTGAAATTATGCTCCATTTTCCTTCCTCCTCTTTGTGTGGACACTTACCCCTCAGTGTCTGCTGGGGTCCTGTCCCTCCTCCTAGATGCTTTGGTCGCCTCTAGATCACGGATGTATGTATGCAGTACAGTTGCTGCTTATTTTCAGACGTTTTAGAACATGGTTGATGGAGTCCTCAGAAGCAAAACCCATGGATAAAACAGTAATAGCTTATTGTCCTCAGAATTGTCTTAGGTCTTTTTAAAAAGTCAGCAGAGGAACGTGCTCCTAGGCACCTGTATATTAATCCACATGAGTGTTGTTCTGAGCACTTTTATTTCTTCCTGTAGATCCAAGTGACTGCCTGGTAACTATGTGGTGTTTATGCCTTCCTCCAGGGTAGCTTCAGACACCATTGTACCTATGTTAACCGTTCACGTGTTACCATCCCAGCCTTACAGCTTTATGGTGGTTTTCTTTAAACTCAGCTAAGAGGAAAATATCTCTACATCTACCTAAGCCCTCACCTTCACTGACCATTTCCATCTCTTCATGCGGATCGAGCCAGGGGACTTGTGTCTCTCCCTTCACCATCTGCGACTCTTGCTGCACATGTGTTGGTGTGGCTGATGGTTCCCCAGGTCTGGGCTCTTTCCAGCTTTAATCAACCCTTTTTGTCTTCCTTTTTCAGTCTGCAGCCATATTGATGGATATAACTTAGCTTTTCAACACTGTGACCAAAACACCTAACACAGACAACTGGGGTGTGCAGGATTCAGCTCATATGTTCAGGAGTTCATTCTGTAGTTTGTGTCATTGCTCTGGGCCTGAGGTGAGGCAGGGCATCATGGTGGAAGGGTGTGGCGGAGAAGGCTTCTCAGCTATGGAATCAGGGAAGGAGAGAGAGAGGCCTGGAGAGGATGAACCCTTCGAGGGCAGCCCCGTGACGGACATCCTCCAGCCAGGACCTGAGCCCAGTGATCCACTTAGCCATCCATGGATTCATTTGCCCTGAGGCCTTGGTTCTCACGATCCAGTCTCCCTTAAAGCCCTCCTCTGTGCACTGGAGACCAAACCTGGAAGCCTGTGGGTGTCTAAAGCCTCAGATGGAAATGGCCACACTGCCTCTGGGAAGACAGCAGAGTGCTCCTGAAGCTGGGAGGGCGGAAGGTCGTAGCACAACCTTCACCTGTGCTGAAAGAAACTTGTACACCATGAAATCTGTATCTGTGCTGTCTGGGAGAGAAAGGAGGAGTCAAGACATTCATAAAGTGACCTCAGATAACTTTTCACTAGTAGAACCACCCTCAATAATGCCTAAAGAAAATTCTAAGAAGAAGAAGAAGAAGAAGAAGAAGAAGAAGAAGAAGAAGAAGAAGAAGAAGAAGAAGAAGAAGAAGAAGAAGAAGAAGAAGAAGAAGAAGAAAGAAGAAGAAAAACATGGACAAGAACATGGCAGAAAGAGCAGCCAGAGGAGCAGAGATATGAGAAGATGCACAAGCTACTGTCCCATGAGCTTCGTGAAACAAAAAGTAACACACCTGGAACAGTCAGAACAATGGTATTCAAAGGCAAGGAGGATGTTGACATGTTCCCATCAGGAGTCTCTCTGTCTAGCTCTATCTATATTAATATGCAACAGAAGCAATTTCAAAAAATCAAATTCTTGAGCTGAAAAACACTCAGTGAAATTAAAAGCATGATAGAAGGCATCACTAGTATAATAGATCAAACAGAAGAGGCAGTGAGCTCAAAGACAGGTCTCTCAAAAAGTCACCAAGGAGAAAGAAGGACAAGAGGAGGGAAGAAAGCTCCTTTTTCAGACTGCAGCCATATCGATGGATATGATGGGAAGTTTGGGGAGGTCCTGAGAGCGCACATGGCTGACTTGGGTCAGGAAGGACTTG